GTGCAACACCCTGACCTTTTAAATCTTTAGAATTTGTTTTGGACCCCAATGCATTTCTCCATCCCGCTGCCTCCACCCAGTCCAGGCCACTGTCATCGCCGACCTGGACGATTATAGTTAGCACCTCCCTGGTCCCCTGGGCCTCTTGCCCTTCTGTACCTGGGCAAGACTTTAGAGTCCCCTGGGCTTTGGGTCTGGGTGGCCTGGGCTCCCTGGCCCTGATGGGCCCGCGGGAGCAGTGCATGAAGCCTGCTCCAGCAGGCAGAAGGCTTGGCTGTATGAAGAAGAGCGGACCAGTCACCTGGATCCTGGTTCCGTGCTCCCTGAGTGACCTGCCAGCCGCAGCCCCTTCCTGAAACCTCTGCTTCTGACACACGAGGAATGATGTGGAAAGACGCTTCTTTTCCCTTCCTGGATCGGTGCTTCTTCAATATTGAGGCTGGGACTGTTCTTGTTGTCTACTGAGGCGGGAGCTCGGATCCCACAGCCCTGGGTCAGGGCAGGCCCAGGTTGGGCTTTGGAGCAGTGCTGCTGCCAGGCAGCATACCACACAACCCCAGGGGGCCATTCACAGCCTATTCCACCGTGCACAGCAGTAGTAACCTCTGAGACCTCTGGCCTCTCTTCACTGCCCGCAGGCTCTGTGGGGAGGGTCCACAGCACGTGTGGCATGTGTGGTGTGGGGTGCCCTGGCCGAGATGGGAGCTGTTTCTGCAGACAGGGACAACTTTTCTTTGTGAACTGACTGACTACCTGGAAAATACTTGAAAGGGTGACGAGGCCTCGTACCAACACACGCACATAACCACATTCACATAGACCCACACATACATACGCACAGACACCTGAAATGTACACAAATGCAAGTGCACTAAACATACACACGAGACAGTATGTGTCTTATTACACAGTAGTGCCAAAGAGCAGCTCCCAATGCATGAGCCAACGTGAAGGATCCTCACAGTCACAAATGGGGACAGGCTGAGTCTGTGGGGCTAGAGCTCAGGGCATGGGTTGCCTGTGGGAGCAGGTGAGGGGTTAGAACCTGGTAGGTTTGGGCTCAGAGAACAGGAGTCCCTGGCTCTGGAGGAACAAGTTGACAAGGAAAGGTTTCCAGTCCATGTGTCCTGCCCATCAAAGATGGGGCTTTTATCAGTATATGCATTGCACACACATGGGAGAACTCAGTGAGGGATAAAAAAGATAGACAGAGACAGATAAAGTGACAGACCAAAAAACATACAGCCTGATAGATGGACAAAGAGAATCAGAAAGATGGACACATAAATAGACACATCAACAAGAGACAGAAAGCTATATGGACAACACAGAGAGAAAGACAAGCAGGACTACGGATAGAGAGGTACAAGCAAACCAACAGAAAAGTGAGGCAGACACCCAGACAGGAAGACAGCCAGGCAGGCATGCAAACACACATCTGTACATACAATCACACACATATGTAGGTACAGCCACACACACATATGTAGGTACAGTCTCTAACACACACACGGATGTAGGTACAGCCACACACAGTTGCAGGAACAGTCACACACACAGATGTAGGTATAGCCACATACACAGACGTAGGTATAGTCACACTCATAGCTACAGCCACACACACAGACGTAGGTACAGTCACCCACACACAGATGTCGGTTCAGAGAGAGAGGCAGAGCCAGTGGAACAGAGAGGCAGACAGCATTGTTTCTGTCTTTTTTTTCTGACTTTGAATAGAGTTCCTCTGTGTGGGACACACTGGCATGAGTAGGTCATGGCCACCTAAAATGCCATTATGAGCTCCTGTCAATCATGAGCCTTGGATTCATATGACTTCAAATGACATGAAGGGCAAAACAATATAGATCTGACATCTCGTATGGGATCAGAATGCTTCTTGCTCTTTGATTATTAGACTAAGGATATACATTAAAAATGGTCATATTTTTATTTTATTTTTGCTTGTTTCTGTTTAAGAGGAAAAATCCATAAAAATTCTATCCTGAAGTCTTTTTCCTGGAATATATCTAAACGAGGGATTCCAATTTGAGCCAGCAGAGGGCAGGAAGTCATTAGATCATGTTGCTTGGTCTGTGCACAAGTAAACTCGAGGTTTGCTTATGTCGTTGCTTCTTGAGCATTTGGTTAACTCCAAGACCTGCACACACTCATCCACCCTTAATGAACATGCTGAGTCTTCAGTATTTATAGCATTCAGACTTTCTGCTCTTTCTCAGCAATGAGGTATTACAGGACACAGCTGTTCTTCGAAGTGGGGTGGAAAATCAAGTAAAACCCACTCAAAATTAATTTTATGGGTGGTCCAGGGGGATTATATTGGATACAAAAAACAACAATCCAGAATGAATATCTTAGTGCGATGAACAATTTTAAGCTTATTCATTTTCCTTTATATTGCATAATTTACTAAATTCTGCATCTGCAGAAATACGTTTGCTGTTCAGAAAGAATGACTTTTGGAAGGTAAGTAATCAAAGCGTATCTAAGCTTGTTACAACAATTGACATTGTCCCAGCAGTGTGGTCTCTTCATCCAACTGCTGACAACAATTAGTTGTGTATTCATCAGTATTTACAGGCAACCCTCCGTGCCTGTCATCTCAAATGTGGTTTGCAACTACATATGCATCCTTAAATTTTTATGATTTTGGAACAAGTAGGAATAGGCTGGTCCATATAAATATGATCAAGCATGTTCCTCTTTGAACATGGAAATTACAAGACGCAAGTTTTCCCATTAACATTAGCTTAGAGGCAGTAGTCTGCTGGAGTCTTGACATGTGCAAAGAGTTAGGAGATGGCTGGAGGACTCCAGCTAGGACAGCATGCAGACATCCGGTCTCCAAGGTGAGAGGAAGTCCCTCTGTGCTCTCTCGGTGAGCCTCACCCTGTGGACCTACCACACTTGGAGTCTCTGTTGGACTTTGCAGTTCCTGGACCTCCAATCGGTGCAAACACACATTAGGTACTTTTTCATATCTAGCTTTTCCAGTCCATGTTAAGTCTGTGAAATTCGTCCATATTATATCATTATTTCATATAACAGCCATTCCTGTCATCATTGCTAGGTACTACTATTGTTTGACTATTTCAAAATATATGTGTCTGTTTAATTACTGATGTAAACTTTCTAATTCTTTGATTTTTTTTAGCTTTTTCCTGCTGGCACATCTTCTCATAGACATAAGCCATAATTCCTGTCAGGCTGTGTCATATGGGGTGTGTGTCTATGCTCAGATGTATAGATATTGCCAAGCAGTTTTCTTTCCAAAGTTGTTATATTGTACTAATTTACACTCCATCAGCAATGCTTATCTTGCCAGGTTTAAAATATTTTATCTAGTCTGTTTGATTTTAGTCATTCTGATGTGTGTGTGTGTGCTGTGTATGACATATTCACTTGAATTTCCTAAAGAGTAATGAAGTAGAATTGGCTTTCTGAGGCTTCTTAACCATTTGGATATGTTCTTTTTTGAAGGACTTGTTCAAACTTTTGATTGCTTTTAATTGGGCTCTCATTTAAAAAATTGATTTGTAGCATTTTTTAAAAGATGTTCTGGGTGTGAATCCTCTATGGGATAAACATATTACAAATACATCATTCCTGTTTGTGGCTATAGTTTTTACCTAAAGTTTTAATCTTAACAGAGCCCAATTTAACAATCTTTTACCTTATGGCTGTTGCATTTTTGGAGTCCCATTTGAGAAAGCTTTTCTGACACCAAGTTCACACACGCTCTAACATCAAGAAGACGAAGTCCTGTGTTTTTTCCCAGGACCTCTGTAGTTCCAGCTTTCCTCCAGGCAGGACCTTCTCCAAGGTCTGCACCCCAAGTCTGAGTAGCTTTCCTCCAGCCCAGCCCTAGATGCCTCCCTGCAGCCAGGTGACGGCGCTTCCCCAAGGGTGTGAGCTCTGCAGACCCCAAGCCCTGTCCTTTGCTCGTGTGGCTTTGCTGACAGTGTCAGCTTCCCGCGTGTATTCTCTCTTGTCTCGGGTGCCCCCTGCGTATGTCTTCTGCTTTCTACGTGCTGCACTGGTCTCTGCTAGACTAATCTGTATGGTTTTGTCCACCCCCCCACCTGGACAATGACAACATGATTACTAACCTAGAAAAGGTAAACTAAATCTACTTGCTATTCTTGTTAGCTCTCTGATGACAACAACTGAGAAGACTGGTAACATTCAGGGGTGGTCAAACCATGGGTAAATATGTACATGGAGCTACTGGGCAGAACATAGTAATGTTACAATGGGTATGGGTTTGACCAGTAAATTATCCTTCATGCCACCCCTACCTTTGGAGAAAGATGCTCACCTGAGTAGGAAGATGCTCACTGGCATGATCACCTACACGTGGTCTGGATGCAAATGGTCATGACAGGACAGTTGTCAAACTGGCATCTCCGATGTACAACCTGAGGTCAGTTCATGAAGACTGACCAGGACAGATAGGCAAGACATACGGGGTGCGAAAGTGTCAGTCTGTACAGAGAAGCATCTGGAATTCTGTATAAAATGATGGCCCACAAACTATCTCATCCCGCTAAGAGTCTCAGGTACCAACCATTCAGTTCAGTAGAGGAGTGGAGCCCTAGGCCACCTGACACTTGACAGGAGACTGGGGCTCTTGTGGGGGCACTGCTGGACCGGGCTCACCCAGCTGGACAGCCCCTGCAGCGTGGCTGCTGGCCGAGCCCATCTATCCAACACTGCTCACAACATTTACTTGTTTGTTCAGGTCATCAAGATTACGCTGTGAGCAAGCATGTTCCCAGGTGGTGTGAGAGCTGGACACAGGATAAGGAGCTGCTGAAGGCCCAGCAAAGTACAGCAACCTCAGTGGGCAGCTGCCTCCCAGGGTGTCTGTCCCGCTGCCACTCCTGTTATTATGTCATTTTACTGAGCAAAGGGGCTTGGCAGATGGAATTAAAGTTAGTGATCAATGACCTTTGGCAGGATAAGATCCCGGTGGGCCTAATCTAATCATACAAGCCCTTACGAACTGACAGCTCTCTCTGGTTATGGGCACAAGGGCAGGTCCGATCTGTCAGGAGCTGAGCTGAGAGGTGTGAGTAGGTGAGTAAAGCCACAGGCCCCGCCCGAATGGGGCCGTGAAAGCTCTCATCACTTCCTGGGTTGAATGAAGCAAGCATCTCCAGCTGTTCCATTGTTCCCCGGGGAAATGGTGCACCTGTTGAAGCTAGGTGGGGCAGAACATGTGGGGGTTATCTCACTGCAGGGGTAGGCCCAGCAAAAGGCTCTGGCGGTTCTAGGGACCCAAGGTGGGTGTGAAGGGGTGAGCTGGGAGCGGAAAAGTACTGGGTACCAAGTCAGAGTGGGGAAAGCACCTTCAAGGTTTCCCCTTCCTCTTCGAAGGCGCCTGGGGAAGACCCCTGTCCAAGCATCAGATAAAAGCAACTGGGAATGGAGGTGCCAGGGCTAGCAGTGTACATCTGTGAAGAGCCCAGCCAGCCAGGGGCCTGAGTCCTTGACTGTGTAGGGAGGCAAAATCTGTTACCCAAAAACCTATCTCTCTGGCATGAGGATTCATTTAGGCTGATTTTTTTAAAAAACAGAAGACTCAGGAAGTGTTTTGCTTTGTTATCTTTACCTCCTTCTTAGCTGCCTATAGAATTTAGATATAGAGACAGTTCCTGGAACAGAGCTGTTCCTGGAGAAATCTGCCAAGAACTTGGGTTTTGTGTAGAGGGGAGAGTCAGCAGAGCCTGGGGACCAGAGTCCACTCTCGTCCCACTGTCTCTGCAGGGCTCAGGAGACACTGATTTACCATTTGCTTTCCCATCTCCATGTGAATTGTCTGCATTCCCACTGAAGTCCCAGATCCCTACCTGACACCCTCTTTTGTCTTTAGCTGAAGATGGTATTAATAGTTAAGGTGAGGGTTTTGTCATCGGTGAGTTATTCAGTTTCCCTGGGTCTCTCCCATGTATACATGTTATTAAACTTTGATGCTCTCCTGTTAATCTGCCTTGTGTCAGTTTAATTCTCATACCAACCAGAAGACTCTAGAAGGGTAGAGGAAAATCTTCCTCCCAGATAGCTGAGTATATAATTATACATACTTACATATAGGGGATTCCCTGGTGGCTCAGATAGTAAAGAATCTACCTGCAATTCGGGAGACCTGGGTTCGGTCCCTGGGTTGGGAAGATCCCCTGGAGAAGGGCATGGCAACTCACTCCAGCATTCTTGCAGGAAGAACCCCCATGGACAGAGGAGCCTGGCAGGCTTCAGCACATACATGCACACACCACACGTCTCATATTTTCTTTATTTACTCATCCATCAGTGGACACTTCAGTTGTTTCTTTACCTTGACTTTTGCAGGTAATGTGGCAATGCCCAAGGGACATAGATATGTCTTTGAGATACTGATTCCATTTCCTTTGGGTATACACCCAGAAGTGGAATTGCTGGGTCATATGGTAGGTCTATTTCAATTTTTGAAGGTAGCTTCCTCCTATTTTCCACAGTGGCTGCACCAATTTACACTATTATGAACAGTGCACAGGAGTTCTGTTTTCTCCCAGGGGAGCATTTTCCATCTAGGGAGATCAGCAGTGATGTCTCCATAAAACCTCTCTGCTGGTTTCTCCTGGGTCTGAGCACCAGACTTTCCAGCATCACTGTCTTGGAGGATACTTGTGGGCAAGAGGGAGATTGTCCCACAGAGAAAGCAGAGGCTGTGGGGATGAGATGCAGGACCCATGTGGGGAGGGGCAGGGAGGCACCACCAGCTCCTTCAGCTGCAGCTCCTCAAAGGGTCCTGGAGAGTGCTGACAAGGGCTGGTGCTGTCTTGAGAGCCTTCAGATGAAGAGTCTTCCTGAGGGGTTTGCTCCATGTGGGAGGCTGGGGTCTCAGTGAAGTCTTGGGGGTACCAGGATCCACTGCAGACCACTGGGAAAGCAGCCTCACCTCCCTCCCTCCTGCCCTGAGCCTGGCTCCTCTGAGCTGGAGAACCCACCCCTACCCTGCTCCCAGACGTACACCTGCTTCACCTGCTGGAAAACACCTAGTCTGGACATTTCTGGGCAGGTCAAATTTCCTCTCTCATTTTTACACACTTTAGCCGTTATTTCAACCAAGCATGTCCCTTGTGGATGGGGGACCGAGGTCTCTAAGAATAAAGGTCCATAGTTTAAAGCTTGTTCCTCTTCTTCCTGCCCCCATCATATGATCATGAACTTCTGAAAATAAATTGGCATCTCATGTCTTGTATGTTTTGCTGCCTCTAGAGAGGTGGTTGTGTCCATACTAGAGCATGTGAATATATGTGCACAGCTGGGACATATTTCTAGCTGTCACCTGAAAAAAACTGACATCTAGTAGATGCTAGCTTCTTGTTAAATGTCTACAATGCACATAAGTCAATCTTCAGGGGGATGAACGTGACAGGTGCTGTATGTTGTTTATCAAGACTCTCTTTGCAATGCCTTTTAAAATAAATGTATTAAATTCTATAATTAACCACCTTAGACCTCAATAGCAGGCTGGCATTTTCAGTGTCTGTCAACAAAGGGCAGTAAGATGCATCAGATCCCTTACTTGGCCTCCATGTACGAGCAGCTACATTAATTCAGTGCTTCTTTATTGAGCACCTATTGTGTGGCAGGTTCTGTGTTTGACTCTGTCCTGGTTAGGCCCTGTTTAATAAGATGCTTAGCTCTTTGGGTGGAGGACAAATTGGTCTTGGAGACATTAATCCCATGAATGAGTTATTTTGTCTGCTACATAACATAACCTTTCTGTGTTCATTGCTCTCAAGAAGTGCATCTAGGGTTGGGGGAGATGGGCACTACTCATGGGAACCAGTCCCCTACTGATGTCACTGCTGCCTGACCTCAGAATTCCTGGCCCGCCCCCAGACTTGGTCCACAACTGTCACAGTCTTTGACTTGTGTGTGGAGAATCGCGCACCTATTCACATCTCTTCCACAGTGTTTGCATTCTTCTCCTTTCAGTGAACACTGCTGCGTGAGCACCTTCGCTTAGTTTTCAAAGGTTCCAGAACATTCCTTTGTTGTGTCATGCTGCTGGATGTCCCATTTTTTAAGCTCTAATAAATAAGTGACCTTCTAATAAATACACCCAAGTAGTATTCAGGATGAAGATGTCATCGTGGCAGATGTCAACCTGCTTCATCTGATTTTGCTTCTCTTTTCCAGATAAAGGGCCTGTCATGTGGGCTGCTCCCCTGGAAGAACACCACCTCCCAATCTGGGGAGGGGGGTGAGATGCCTGCCCTCAGGAGCCTGCAGTGTTGGAAGCATCGGCTCCCTCTCTGACTCCGACACAGGGCCCTGATGGCATCTGTCCCTCACAGTTGTCAACCTCAGGAGATGGAGTATCACCTGGTGCACAGGTGTGCAGCCTCACTGAGATCAAACATTTTGTCTAATGAGAATTAGGGGCAGCGACACCTGTGTGTGACTGACCCAGGCATCCAGGAAGCTCTAAGGAGCCACACTACACCCCGATGGTCATGGTGAGGCCACTGCTTGTCCCACTGGTGTGCTTGTCAGGCCCTTGTTCTCTGTGCTCTGTTATAAAAAATTCAGCTGCAGGACGGCTGGGGCACATAGAAGGGAAGGCAGGAGGCATTTGCTGTTGCAGGAGAGGCATTCTGGCAGGGGTGACCAGAGGAGGATCCTGGGAAATTGTGAGAAGCAGGTCTGAGAAATCAGAATGCCCTGCAGACAGGGCTGGTGGTGCCAGGGCTGCTCCCTTGGGTCTAGGAGCTATTCTTGCACTGTTGTTCAATGAGCCAAGGAATAATTTTGTAGATATGCATGCCACGGCCCTGGTGGGCAAGGGGTTTCCTGGCTCTGCACCAGGTACTGGGCAGCCATGACTCAAGCTGGTGTCTTTCTCACTGTCTGAGGAGCAAGAGCATCAGTGGGGACCTCCAAGTCTCCGGGCCTCCAGGAGTTGCACCGGGGACGAGATCTCCCATGCAGCCCCGTCTGGCCTCATGCGGCCCCCTCCTCAGCAACATTTGTGCATTTTGAACATTGACCTGACTTTAGCTAATTAAGACTCAAATTAGGTTCTGTCCTATTAACATTAGTTGACAGCAAACCGAAGTAGATATTTTGAAAATCTGAGTTGACAGAGAAGACTGCCCCCACAAGTAAGTTTTCTGGAAAATAAGCCACAATTACGGAGCAGCAGCTCGCAGCCCCGTACCTGGGCCCTGTAGCTGAGATCCCCTATAAACTCCACTCCATGCTGCTACCAGGTGGTGATAAACGCCAGGGCTGGCCTACGTCCATGGCACGGACATGGCCTCAGCACAACCAGATGAGCCACTTGCATGGAAGCTGGAACAGAGAACTAACAGTCCCCAAGCCCAGTCTCTCTAAGGGGATCCAGCCCACCCAGCAGAGCTACCTGGGTGTGTGGCTCTGACACAGAGACGTGTCCATGGTGCTGAAATGACCCTCATCTAACCCCCCCTAACCCGCTTCCTCCTGCCACAAACAGATGACTAGAAATTCCAGTTCTAGGTGAGTGAGACGGTCTTAACGCTCTGAGATGGAGGGCAGCAAATTGCCCCAGGTCTGACTTTTCCCCTCTCTGGCTCATCCCTGGCAGCATCAAGTCATCTTTGGGCCTCAACCTCCTGCTTTAGGACCAGAGGGAAGGAAACCACTGGAAAAAGCCAATCTCACAGAATCAGCATTTCTTTCCAAGACTCCAGGTCACATCAGAGGAAGGAAAGATCAATGACCAGGCAAGCAGGAGCTCTAGGCTAGTGCTTCTCACCAGCCCTGGCTCAGAATCCACATCCAGAGGGAGGACATCCAACCAGGACCCCTTGGGGCCTTCCCACTCATCTTGGTCCTCACAATAGTATCTGATACACACTCCTGAGTTGTTTTGCAAATGCTAAAAGCCCCCCAAGTGAAAGAAGTTAACTATTTGATGACCAGGAGCATGGAGCTACTAGAGGCTGAGAACTGATGATGTTCACCTCTGTGACCCCACCATGTTACCGCGTCATCAACCGATCAGAATTGTGCACAAGCTGACCTTCCTACTCTGTAACTCCCCTCCCTCACCTGGCCTTTAAACGTGCCTCCCTTCCACCCTCCAGGGAGTTTGGGAGTTGCCGTATTTTGAGCACCAGCTGCCCTGGCCTCCTAATCTGCAGCCTTGCAGTTAACACTGCAGTTTCC